AAATATTTATCATGATTATTATCTTAAGAAACTGGGTGCAGCAACACAAATGTTTTGTTAAATGTGAGATATTTGATTATTTCTAATATTTGGTAAAATAATTTCGGTATATTATCTTCTACATCTTTTATTTTTTTATAATTTTGCTGTTTTTTGCAGCAAATTTTTCTATTTACATAATTATCTATGTTAGTTTTTGCAAATCATTTGTTTGACAAATAAACATCCATCATAGGCAGTTTTAGATAATGTCATAGTGATTAGTGTTCATTAGACTAGTTCTAAGTACTCTGGAAAACAAAACTCCATCATTGGCTTTATCATGTCAATCAATATGGCTATTCAATCCGAAATTGTTATTTTCTTATACTACATTGCACTTCCTAGAAATGAGACCCGTTTAAATTAAATTAATGTTTTTATTTATAACGGTTTTGGTTTTTACTTTTAATGGTTTTTTTATTTCAAAATGTTATACAAAAGTTTAGTTGGAATTTAAAGCTTCGTTACCGTTACCCTTGAATAATTATAACTATGTTATATTCATAGAAAACTTTACGCAAAACCAACTGTTATATAACTACGAAAAATCTAATAAATTCGTAAAAATTTAGTACATTACCATTTTTACGATATTAAGAGAAACAGCGAATAGTTTACTCCCCGTAACAGGGTTTATAACATTTAACAGTGTGTACATATGTATAACATTTTGTAATTGCCATAACTTTCACCGAATGTGTCTGTGGAATACACAAAAGAGACACAATACAATGTATCCGCAGCAAGGAAAACACAGCAACTTTACTAAATGTTGCTAAACATTTTCGGTTGTTCAACAAATGTTAAGTGTTTACTTAAAAGATACATGTTGTTTTTGGAATAGTTTTGTTGATTAGTGGTGAGCTTCAGTGAATGTTGCTGTTATTATGTACAACAACATATTATGGGGGATTATGTTGCTGACAATGATGACAATTTCGTGAGAAATATAAGCTGAGTTAATTCAGTAAATATGTATCTATGTATGTATGTATCTATGTATGTATGTATGTATCTATGTATGTATGTATGTATGTATGTATGTATGTATGTATGTATGTATGTATGTATGTATGTATGTATGTATGTATGTATGTATGTATGTATGTATGTATGTATGTATGTATGTATGTATGTATGTATGTATGTAGTATGTATGTATGTATGTATGTATGTATGTATGTATGTATGTATGTATGTATGTATGTATGTATGTATGTATGTTATGTATGTATGTATGTATGTATGTATGTATGTATGTATGTATGTATGTATGTATGTATGTATGTATGTATGTATGTATGTATGTATGTATGTATGTATGTATGTATGTATGTATGTATGTATGTATGTATGTATGTATGTATGTATGTATGTATGTATGTATGTATGTATGTATGTATGTATGTATGTATGTATGTATGTATGTATGTATGTATGTATGTATGTATGTATGTATGTATGTATGTATGTATGTATGTATGTATGTATGTATGTATGTATGTATGTATGTATGTATGTATGTATCTATCTATCTATCTATCTATCTATCTATCTATCTATCTATCTATCTATCTATCTATCTATCTATCTATCTATCTATCTATCTATCTATCTATCTATCTATCTATCTTCTATCTATCTGTCAATCTATCTGTCTATCTATATATCTATTTATATATCGAATTACTTATTTATTCAACCTCAAACTTTTGTATACAGTTCCTTCAAATAAAAACTGCACTATAAATACTATTTACAGAGTATTTTACCTAAACAGCAGGTCGCTATAATTCTAGAAACTTGATTTATCTTAATTTTAAAAGAAACATTTTCAGATTTTTTCTGTTGAAATTTGAGAAATAGTCTGAATTTTATATACTATACTTATATACATATGTATGTAATACTTTAAGACTGTTAAGATCAGAAAGTTTTGTCCGATAAGAACTTATTTTTACCGATTTCTGATACACGTTTGCGTAATTAATATTTCATTTGTATAATACTTAAAAAAATTCAATACAATATATTTTCAATTCTTTGTTCCAAAAATTTAATTTAACCCATTTTTATAATTCTATTTTCATTACCATTCAATGATAAGTTTATCTGCCTTTAACCTGTTTTGTTACGATTAAATTCACTCAGCACTTGTCCCAAAGCGTTACAACAATGTGCTTAAATCTTGTCTTTGTTGTTTGTGGTGGCATAAGTAGATATTTTCCTTTTTTCTTTGTCTTCAGGTTTTTGTTGTTTATCAAGGATACAATGGTGTATTATTTTTCTTCCTTTTTACACAAAAAAATAATCGTGGAATTTTTTTCTCTTCAGTGTGTCAAAGGCTTGTGCTACGTCTCGTGTTTTGTTGTGACTTTCATGTAGGAAAACATTTTTTGATTAAATTTTACGAGCTTTCTGGGCGCATAATATTGCGGAAATAGTTTTTTTTTCTGTG